TTTTCATTGCATCAAATATTATATGTATATATTTGTAAAATAAATTCAAATTTAATACAAATCAAGTTAGTGTTTATAATACTGTATATATGGCTTTAAAAAGAAAAATTCCAATCAAGGATAAAAAGTGTAATAAATGAAATATTTTATAATTGGGTTTTTATTAGATAAAAAGAGGGGACATGTTTTATTGTATAATAATGTTACCCCTGGAGTTGCCAAGATGGAGTGACCATGAGAAGTAACAACAGATAGTCCCATAAGAATGATTCTTAGAAAAGAAAACATCCAAAATATATAGATTTCACTCAAGCAAAAAGAAATTCATAATAGTATAATAAATAATGTAATGATGAAGTAATAAATAACTGAGGTTACAACAATCAAGGAACTACTGCATCTAAAACTATAGAAGACACAGATATTTGATACTCAAAAAGTCTACTTAGCATTGCCACTGGGTTTCTTCCCGGTAGAGTTGAGCTCATCCCAGGCCTCAATCCAAGTGACCATGGCATCAGCTAACTTATCGAAGTAGGAGTCCACCTTACTGAGTTTTGCCTTCACTTGCTTTGCCAGTTCGAGATAGCACTTCTGAACAGTAGTGCATTCCTTCGGAAGAACAGCAGATTGGAAGAAAGGAATAAGTTCTTCTTGCCAGAAGATACCATTGTACTCCTTTTTCAGATTAACAAATGGGTTACTGGCTTTGCTGTGCCATATGTACGGCAAACCAGTCTTCACCCCCCATCCCATATGATCACATATTACCTGAAAATGTTCATCAAATTCATAAATGTGAGTTTCATCATTTCAATTGGCACATTTTTGTCAATCAAGATCTCTTTGTATTGCAAATGGTGTGTTTACAAGAGTGTAAAGAGTACCTTCATGCACCAGCCAGCCCACATGTCATCATAACGCCCAACAGGCTGTCCATCCCCCATAAGCCCGAAGTACATAGCAGGTCCAATCAATTCACGGTTGAATGCCAGGTTCATACCACACATCGGGAAAAGAGTTCCCTTAGGGATACTCAAAACTGCATCCACATACCTGGGAATAAAGAGGAACAATATATGAATGAAACAAAAATTATCATAGGTTCATTTTCGAGTCATGTTAAAACAAGAATGTGAGATCTATATACCTGGTGTTTCTCTCACGCGGCTTGACAAGCTGGGTGGGAGCATCATAGTCAGGGATGTTGAGCCAGAGGCCATGAGAAACAGCTGTGGCAACACCCTCACGTAGACTGAAAGGGTATCCACGGACAAAGTCTGCACCTTCTCTGTATGGATCATAAAGAGTGTTGAAGAAATTTGGAGTGGATGGTGATAACAGGTTCTTTATGTGCTGCTCAAGTGCATTGATCTCTTTCCCAGATGGATCTTTGGCTACCTGCACATCAGAGCACAATATATGAGAAACCTTTTAAAATTTTATTTAAAAAAAAAAATACAAGAAACCTTCAGTAATACCAGTAACCACATCACAAGTCAAGATTAAACAATTCCAAACTACATCATGGGATCATAAAGCTATATACACTGCAGTTGAAAATCCAGTCAATGCTACAACAACTTTAACTGATTACAGAGCATAACCCAAAAGTTTCTAATTTTAAGAAGTCACAGTTTTATGAAGTTTAATAATTCTGGCATAATATACATCCAAGTTACAATATTTAGAGCCTGCAGGGACATAATTCGAGTGATTCATCTATCAAGATCTCTTGCAAATGCCACTCACAAATATAGAAAGCAAAACACCCAAAGTAAAACAAGAGAAAGAGACTGCTCCCCAAGTTAAATCCACAAAAATCAAGAACCCCCAATATGACAAACATATAAACCAAGATCCAAATCCACCAAAAAGTGCAATCTCTGTAAAGTTACCAACCAATATATAGTAGCATATTCAATAACAACAACGTCAACACAAAGAGTGAACAAGTTAAAACATGAAAAAAGAGAGAGCTTACAAAGCAATCATCATCAATTGTGAAGATATACTTCTTCTTAGAAACCATGTAGCCAAAGCACCTGCAAGCAGAGTCCTTAAACGAAATGCAAGAAGCCTTAGGACCCAGAATGCGGTTGATGTCATTCCTATTGTAGAGTTCATAATCAAATCCCTCAGGGACCTTGATTGTCTTCGACGGATCGCCATCCTGCACAATTATCAGATGATACGGCTCAAAAAATGGCCTCCACATCTCCAGAAAATCAAGATTCCGAATGGTGGGTATCACGATATCCAGCTCATCTTTCAAGAGCGGAGTTGCTGGTACAGTTGAAGGAGATGCCATGTTTAAAATAAATCTAGCTTTGAGTTGGAGTTGAAACGGTAGAGAAGAGAGTCCTCTTTGCGTAGATTTATATAAAAGACTATTCAGAGTTTTCCAAACGGAAACCGAAAAACATCATAATCATCCTTGATTTTTCAGTAATATCATTCCAGCCCTGGAAATGATAGGTTTTTGACCTTTGGTAGTTTTGTTTTGACCATATCAAAGTAAAAGGGAGTTGTTGAGCTCTGGTCAAACATAGATTTATTGTGAAAATAATCATAGAATTATTGGTGTATTTGAGCCGTCGAATCATAATTGATTGAAGCATGATTAAGATGTATTTATGTTGTAAACTTATAAAGATTCATGTGATAGATTAAGATATGCTTTGAGTTTACAACTTTATAATCGTTTACTAAGAGATAGTTTAATTGGATTAATCTTATGCTTTTTTTTTTTTTTTTTGGATAATCAAAGTGTCCGAGTCAACTTATGTACACCTCAATTAATCTCCAGAGCCCATTGAATATCCTACAAACCTAAAAGATCAGATAAGCCACCATATTATTTTGATAACTCAAGAAATATAGCAAACCTCCTTGACCGCAAGGTCAACCCCTTAGGTTAATTATATGCTTTTATTATCTTGTAAGAGAAGATATAAGTTTGTCATTGATAGTTGTTATTAAGTCAGTCAAAATCTTAATCCCTAAATTAATTTAGTTAGAAGGATCTCACTATGATTTAATTCAAAGTAATGTTACACACTTACAACCTCTTCTCACAAACTTTCTTTCACAACTCCAACGTGGTAATTTGTAATTGATCAACCGTAATTTATCAGGTAGAACCTATTACGAGCTAAACAATCATGAGTTGCTACATTGGAGTAGTGAGAAGAGACTATGGGTGTAATATTTTTCTTTAATTAATATAATCAAAAATAAAAGTGCATTGAGAGTGGGAGGGTTGTTGGAAAACAGGGAAGCCAATAATAAAGAGACAGATGGAAAGAATATGCCCCTCTACTCCGAAAGCACAACTCTAAATTTAGCTAATTTTAAAGGTTATAACATTAACCCAACGGCCAAACCTTGTTGTATTAAATTAAAGCAGATTGCCACCAAATGAGAAGGAGACACATAGTTTTGTAACGTTTATTAAATGTACTGTGTACATGGTTAGGGTTTAGAACGTGGTTTGAATTGCTAAGTAGTTTCCACGTTCAATTATTGAATTCTAAACTTACTTTACCATCACACGCCCACGTGCCCCTTTGCTTACTTTTCAATTTCCCCCTTTTAAAGAGATGCTACTAAGTTCTATAGCACAAATTAATTGAAAAATAAAAAGTTTAATTTCCATTACAATCATCATAGATTTAACTCTAAAATTCATCAATACTATAGTAAAATCTCTCTAAATATGTTTCATACCAAGAAACTCTAAATATAAAACTATAAAATATTTTAGCTTCAATAAAAAGATGTCTATACTAGCGATCTATTATGTATCTGAAAGTTAAAAGATGTGATAACAAAATATAAAACATAAATCATTATCACAAACAACTTTAGATAAATATTTCATTTCATATTAAACCTTTAATATAATATTAAAATAATTTTTTTTTTTTTTGGCAATATACAGCTAATTATTATTATGTGGAGACAACTTTCTTAAGATGAAATTTAAAAATATTATAACTTATTACAACGTGAAGCTTATTCTTATTTATAACTATCTCAAGTTGAGAGTATAATATTTTAGAGCAATGCATATGCTTACAATTGAATTATACAATTGAGTCATACAAACAGACAAAAAACAAAGGATAAGATAGTTATTTTACATAAATTTTATGTAATTTTTATCTGTTTGTATGACTCAGTTGTAAGCAAAATATTATTGAATTTTTCATGACTATATAGAGGTTATTTCTATATAGAGTATCACTATCAATAATGTTTTGCTTACAATTGAGTCATACAATCAGACAAAAATTTCACAGAATTCGTGTAAAATGCCTACTATGTCTTTTATTTTTTGCTTATTTATATGACTCAGTTGTAAGTATAGCATTAATCGTATCACTGTATAAAGGTTTTAGTATCTCTCTACCACATTATAACTTTGATACCCTCATATACAACCCATTTGGTGCTTCAACTCTGGGGAATTGCAGAATTTCATTTCCTCCAACTTCCTCCCATCTGCAAACATAAATTGACATAATCAACTCACACATTTTGGTTGCAACAACATCATCATATGATGAATATAAATAAATGATTGAGATAATGTTCCAACCTATATCTAGTAACAAAATAGTGAAGGAATGTAGAGATTTTGACTATGCCCAATTCTTTGCCAGGACAAAGCCTGGTTCCTCCTCCAAATATGAAGTTGTAGTTGTGAGACTCGTGCTTCTGCATTTCATGTCATAAGCCACAAGTTTCATGGGATTGTAAGCTTACAGTTATATAATAGTGAGGTGATAAACTAGAACAATTCGAGTAAAAGTTACCAGCCATCTCCATGGATTAAATGTATAAGGCTCTGGATAGAGGACTGGATCATAGTTTATCTCCCGTGTGTAAACGTATATTCGCCATCCTTTAGGAATTTTAAATTCTTCAAAATATAATTCAAACTGTTACAAGATTCCAAGAATGGAAGAACCCAAAAATGCCCAAGTCATAATACTAAGAGAATTTACCATTCAATTCAATGTCATTGATTGTCTTCCTCAGAACACCATTAACAATAGTTGCCAATCTTGAGGTTTCGTATATGACCTGCCAAGCAAAATTAAAAGTTTTTAACATATAGTTCATTTTGGATGGAAAGAAGAAGACGGGTTTGATAGATTCAATTTGCTCACTGCGCGAGTAAAAGTCATGGACTTGCAGTCATCCCAATCAATTGGATCCTCTGGCTTTTTCCTTTGTCGGATTGCTAAATGTTCATCCTAAATGAGTTAGTTAATCAAAACATTATCATTAACTCCATAATGATGAGTGAAAATTACAAAAACTTGATGATTAAAACGATCTCACTCACTCTAAGTTCTTGAAGAGCTCTTGGATGATCATGAAGATACTTAATGGCCATCATTGAAGTTTTTGAAACAGTCTCATATCCTGAATATAAAATTGTAATAACTTGATCGAGTGTCTCCTCATCACTGAGCGAGTAGTTAGAGTCTTCATTTCTCAGAAGTTGATCAAGCATGTCATTATGAGTTATTGAAGAAGCTCTTCTCTTCTTCATAATCTGTTTCAACATTCTGATGACTCTCTTCCTTCCCTATTATAAAAATCAAGAGGTTCCATATCATTAATTATCTGCAGAAATTGTTTAAAAGGACATAGTGAAATATTCAATAATATACCTGTAATCCGTAATGGTAATTTGTTCCTGGAAGATTGATAGGCAGTGACAATGTTCCTACTACTAGCTTATCGAACTCTTGTTTGAAAGTATCATATATCTGACTTGATTCTATTTCTACTATCTGCTTGAAGGCCACCAATAATGCCATCTAAACAAAACAGCACCAGAGAAATCTGAATAATCTTTTAAATTCTTGAATGTAATAAAAGAAAAAGAAAAAGAAGAAGAGCAAGAGCTATTTATAACTTGATCAATGAATGTGAATTAACTATGCTTTATGCTTTAAGAGAATGGTATGGAAGCTAAATCTAACTTTAATTACATGTAATGGGGGAACCTCAAGTGATTGTTATATATATCCTTCTAATAATGCAAGATCTTACTTTTGGATCGAAACAACCTAACCAGAAAAAGAAGAAAAAATGACAGTGGATTAAGACGGATGAACTATAGGTGAAAATGATTATATTGTTTTGTAATGGGGGTTGTGGTTAATGTGCAAACCTCATTGGTTCTTTCTTGGATATCAATGGTTTTTCCATGCCAGTTGTGAAGATAGGATCTCATCAACTTATCAATTTTCGACAGAAGTTTCGTTTTGATGGCGGCAGGGTTTATAAGTGACATCATTGATCCTCTAATGTGTCTGTGAGTAGACCCATGCACAGCGGCAATGTTGCGTTTTCCGACTATTGTTAGCATGGACTGAGGATAACCAGGAACAAGTCCTTTTCCTTCATTCATAAGTATGTATCTGTTGAGCTCAGGATCCATGCAAATAACGGTAGGACACCCGAGTATATGAGTTTTGAATAAACTTCCATACCTGTCAAATATCCTTTCCTATTAATCGTAATATGAATGAGAATTGAATCATTGATATCATTCAAACAGAAAAAATTGTACTAAGGAAGAGTGGTTTTAAGGGGGGTTTCAGTTTCAGTTTCATAGACAAATATATTATAAGAACCACCAGAGCAGGAGAAGAATGATTTCTGGTGGGTATCAAAACAAATCTAATTGCATAATTGAGGCAAACTTTCAACAACCATTTCACTACTTTCAACCTGTAGTGGAATTGCTTTGATTTTTGACATAAAAATAAGGCCTAGGAATGTTAGTATACTATTGCAACAATTGGGATGGACATCTTTGACTTGTGCTGCAGAGAAAATGCTGTCCACTTTTCATCAAATATATGATGACAATCAGCAACAAAAGATGATGATATTCAATTCCTTCCAATAGTACTAGCTATATAGCATGTAAGGGTTCCCTGTTGGGTGTTGTGGAGTCACCTTTTATGGCGGTATCCATGCAGATAAAATCTATGTATAAGACACTTGGAAAGAACCCACAAATCATTTCATGCTTGTAGCTATTTTGGATCAAGGTAAAAAGGAAAAGCTTTTGATTAACAAACTAATTGAAGCCAAAGTACTCAGCTGGCTTTTTGGCAGGCTGCCTGTAGAGTGAGAGAATGAATGAGAAATCACTTGCTATAGTAAAAAAGAAGCCACTTTACCGTTCAATCACCTATTGAGAGAGAGAGAGAGGGAGAGAATTAACAAGCCAACTACACACTCAACAAACAAACAGAGAGAAAAAAAAAAAAGGTGAAAATGAAATAAACTCGAGGCTTTAACCCCTTTTTAACTCTCCAAAAAAGAAAAAAATGTTCCATCAAGAAAAAATTCTTACCTTGCTCTCTGGTTTTTCATGAAACTTGGTCCATGTTTGAGAAATTCTGTAGTCTCACCAAAAAGTGGCCACCCCATTGTACCTGGAGGCAATCCTTTGCTTGCGTATATTATCTCATTCCATTTCAAGAAAGCAAAGCACAAACAGAAGCCCATAAACAGCCCACATAATACCACCACCAGTACCATCGCCAAGACCGCCATTGATGCTCTCAAGAAACTCAGAAAACTGCTTCTGCAAATGGTAATATGACTTGGTTCAGTCAGAGGTCTATGTATTATTGTGAGACTCTCTACACAGAGAGACACAGAGGATATGCTATGTACTATATAGGCCAAACCATGCACCTACCTAGTGACCTCATTATCATATCTCAGTAATGCAATAAATGTCCTAAATTCACCAGACCCTCTATAAAACATTAACAATTAAAAAAATCTATATATGGTATGTATATAAAACCACAATCTTTTCCCCCAGATTTGTTACTTGAATATGTTAGTTATAAATAATTTTTTATTTTTAAGTTGTGAAAACAGTTTTCTCCTTTTTTTTCTTTGGAATATGAAGCTATACAGAGTTTATGCCCAGTGATTTTTGTTGGAATTGGGAGCAAAAACAAAACACTTTTGCTGAAGAAAACTACGAACTCACATACTTTATTCATCAAAGTTTAACTCATTTTATACAAGAAAATCACTCCTACTCCTAATCAAATAGGGAAGGAAAATCTAAATTTACTTGCCTAATTAAACTCAACCAAATCTTTACTGACTAAGAGTTATTCTAAAACAAGAATACTTAAAACAAGAAAGTAAATAAAATTGGAAATCTAGGATCTTGGACGCTCGCCACGGCTATCACTCTTTTTTCATGTTCAACGTTGCTCCTCAGCACACTTTGCAGTGACCGTCATCGTTGCAGCAATGCTTTCTATCACTACAATGACCGGGCCAAATGTCTTCTTCAACATTTCGCTGCAACTTCCCTCTTCTACCATAGATAAGTTCAAGCTCACTAAAATAGGTTCACACTTTAACACTCCTCCTTGAACCTTGTTGAGTTGTACAAATCAAATGTTTTAGGAATAGGATCAAATGTTTTAGGAATAGGATCTTTAGAATAGGAAATTAGATCATTCCCTTTCCTAGTTTAGATTATTTCATTTCCTTATATGGATTGTTGAATGTGTATATATTGTTGTATTTTGTTCACAATCAATATTAAGAAAATTCTTCTGATTTCACATGGTATTAGAGCTAAGAAATCAGAAACCCTAGAAAAAATTTCTTTTCTTTTTCCAGTGATTTTTTTTTTTTTCCAGTGAAGTTCAGGCTATCTCCTTCTGGCGTTGAATCACTCTTCTAACCACACCAGCCTATTCGTCTTCTCCTCGCTGGCAAAACCTGAAAATTTCATCGCTAGTCACCGCCGTACACGCCGGTCTTCGTTCCGATAACTTCTTCTCCGATCTCCTTCTCCGATCTCCTTCTCCAGCGAGCGTGAGGTCTCATCACTAGCACCTGTGCACTCAAACACCGCCGGCGAGCACACCCACCACTGTCCGACCTGCATTGTCATCACCGGCGTCGGAAATAGCCCACTACCGCCAAAATATCCTCTCTCTTTTTTGCCGATCTGCCTAGAATCAATTTTATTTTTTAGCATAGATCAGTTCAATCTCTCCCACAAGACAATCATGCTCCCTGAAGGATCCACCACCAAATCAGGTTCTGTTTGTTTTTTGCCTTTTCCTCTGATCACAACTGAAAAATTAATAGGCAGCTCCAATTATTCCTCATGGGCTGCCTCTGTTGAACTGTGGTGTATGGGACATGGTCTGGAGGATCACTTGACCACTAAGGCTGAAGATGTCACAGATGATAAAACTACCTGGGTAAAGACAGATGCTTTGGTATGTGGTTTATTATGGAAGTCTATTGACCTTCACCTTCATTCTACTTATAAAATATATCGAACCTATTTTGATGTATGGCGATAGCCAAATTGCTTTATACTAATGATATCCAGAGACTCTATTCTATTGTGTCCAATTTGGTTAATATCAAACAACAAGATATGGGCATGTCTAACTTTCTTGGCAGGATGGCCTCTCTCAAGGCAGAATTTAATTTTTTATTACTCGTTGGCAAGTTTGAAGCAGAAAATCTATCACAACTAGACAAATTTTTTTATGGTTCTTACTCTTGCCGCTATCAGTCTTGCTCTCACTCTAGTATGAGATCAGATTCTGGCAAGTGCTACTGTGCCTTCTCTTAATGAAGTTTTGGCTCGATTACTTCGAGTCTCCTCCCCTATTGTTGTGGTTGGATCTTCCCCAGTTGATTCTTCTGTCCTGGCCTCTCAGTCTCAAACTTTTGTTAAAGGAGAGCAGGGGGATCGTAGTGGCAGGGGAGGTCGACCCAAGTGTAGTTATTGTCATAGGTGGGGACATATCCGGGTGAAATGCTACAAATTACATGGGCTTCCTCCTCGGGTTACCAATGTCGCTTATCCTGATAATCATTCTGAATCTTCTGAAGAACCAAGTCCGCCATCCTTGACTCTTACAGGTGCTAATTATGACGAATATCTCAAGTTCCAAGCAAATAAGCAGTCTTCTTCATCTGTTGCTTCCATCACTCAGTCGGGTAAATCAGTTGCATGCCTCACTCAATTGTCTCCCCCAGGGTCTTGGGTTATTGATTCTGGTGCATCAGATCATATCTCTGGTAACCCCCGTTTGCTTTCTCACCTTATTAATACTACCTCTTTGTCCCCTGTTACCTTAGCCAATAGGACCAAAGCAGTTGTTAAAGCAATAGGTCGGGCACAACCACTCTCCTCCGTGACTTTAGATTTTGTCTTGTATATTCCCCATTGCCCTTTTAACCTTCTATCTATCAGTAAACTCACCCACTCTTTAAATTGTTCTATCACTTTTACTAATGATTCTATTGTTGTACAGGACTGCAGCACGGGACGAATGATTGGCGCAAGACATGAGTCACAAGGCCTCTATCATCTCAAGTTACCTTCTGCCCCCATTGCTTGCACTGTCTCCGAGTCTCCTTCATAATCGTTTGGGTCATCCTAGTTTAGCAACGCTTCAGAAGATGGTTCCAGGTCTCTCTACTTTATCGTCTTTAAATTGTGAGTCTTGTCAACTTAGAAAACATACTCGTAGTACGTTTCCAAAGCATGTCAATAAACGGGCTACGTCCCCTTTTGAGTTAGTTCATTCCGATGTTTGGGGTCCTTGTCGAGTCTCATCCATTTTAGGGTTTTAGTATTTTGTTACATTTATTGACGATTATTCTTGTTACACTTGGGTTATTTTTAATGAAAAGTCGTTTCGAATTATTTTCTATCTTTGAATCCTTTTGTGCTGAAATTAAGACACAATTTAATATTGTTATTCATGTGTTTCAGAGTGATAATGCTCGTGAATATTTTTTTGCTTCCTTTACCAAATTCATGTCATCTCAAGGAATTCTCCATCAATCCTCTTGTGTTTATACTCCAAAACAAAATGGAGTTGCTGAGCGTAAGAATAGACATTTTGCTCGAACCCTACTTTTACACAATCAGGTTCCTTTTCGGCTCTGGGCAGACGCTGTGTTAACTGCTTATTTCTTGATTAATAGGATGCCTTCTTCTATCCTACAAAACCAAGTCCCTCATTCTGTTTTGTTCCCCGATCAACCATTACACTCTCTTCCTCCATGTATCTTTGGTTGCACATATTTTGTCCATATCCTTTCCCCAGGTACCAATAAACTGTCTGCCAAATCTATCAAGTGTATTTTCCTAAGATACTCAAGACTTCAAAAGGGTTATAAATGTTATTCTCCATCCACTCGTCAATACTTTCTATCCGCTGATGTTACCTTTTTTTAGTCTTCTCTTTCTTTTCTATATCAGATAGTGATTCTATCACCACTGTCCTTCATATACCCTACATTGAGTCTATTTATGATCATCCTGCAAGGTTTGTTACTATTCCTCCAAGTCCTCCCCTATGGGCGAGTCTCCTCCTCTAGGTGATGCTATTATTTTGAGTATGACTACTGACACTGTTCTTGATGATGTTCATAAGGCTCCTGTTCCTAATACTCATGCGTTAGATTCCTTTCCTGCTGCGGCCCTACCTCCTGAAGACCAATTTCCCATTACAGTTTGTAAAGGTATGCGGTCTACTCGTAACCCTCATCCGATATATAATTTTCTTAGTTATCAGCGCTTATCTCCATCATATTATGCTTTTGTGTCAACCATTTCTTTTGTCTCTATTCCTTCTAATGTTCCTGAGGTACTGACTGATCCCGGCTGGCGTCAAGCTATGGTTGAAGAGATGACTACTTTGCATCATAATAATACTTGAGAATTAGTTCCTTTGCCTCCCGGCCAATCGCCTGTTGGTTGTTATTGGGTTTATACTTTCAAGGTTGGCCCAAATGGTCAAGTTGATCGATTGAAGGCATGGTTGGTTGCAAAAGGGTATACTCAGACTTATGGCTTGGATTATTATGAAACATTTTCTCCTGTGGCTAAGATGTCTTCTGTCCGCTTGTTTTTATCCATGGCTGCTCTCTGCCACTAGCCTCTATACCAATTAGACATTAAGAATGTTTTTCTTCATGGTGAGCTTCAGGAAGAAATTTATATAGAGCAACCGTCTGGCTTTGTTGCTTAGGGGGAGTCTGTCGTGGTATGTAAATTTCGTCGCTTTCTGTATGGTTTAAAACAGTCCCCTCGTGCCTAATTTGGACAATTCAGTAATGTCATTCAAGAGTTTGGGATGATTCGATGTGAGTCTGACCACTCTGTTTTCTATAAACATAAGTCATCAGCGCAATGCATATATCTGGTTGTCTATGTCGATGATATTGTTATTAAGGGAAGTGATTAGGATGGCATTAAACAATTGAAGACACACTTGTTCCACCACTTTCAGACCAAAGATTTGGGATTACTTAGATACTTCTTCGGTATCAAAGTGGCTCAATCTAGCTCAGGTATTGTTATTTCTCAAAGGAAATATGCACTGGATATTTTGGAAGAAACATGGATGTCAGACTGTAGACCGATAGACTCTCTTATGGATCCTAATTCAAAGCTTTCACCTGGACGTGGGGAGCCTCTTGCAGATGCTAGGAAATACAGAAGACTGGTTGGTAAACTTAACTATCTCACCATTATA